AGCAAAGCAAAGCAAAGAGAGAGGGGGGCAAACTTCTCCCACCACAGTCGTGGTGAAAGAAAGAGTCAACTTCCCCAGGGGCCTAACACGCCCCTCATGCCTGGGAGAAGTGCGAGGTTAGAGTACCAGCTGGTTCGTGACGGGTTTTGGGCATTTTGGGGGGAGTTGAAGTGGTTAACAATGTGTTTAACTAGGTACTCCGCAGCAGACTCGCAGGACAGCTGGCAAGAGAGGTCCACATCGATGCAGTCATGAGCGTTGTTGTGTTTGTTTTCGTCGTGGGCGGGGCAAACAAAGGCCCGATCGGGGGGACGTCGGTGCAAGGAAACACAGGACGGGGGCTGAGAGATGTGAAGATCCCTTTTGTGTGATGTACCTCGAATCTGTTGCTTCCAGGGTTTAGCTCAGCTCCGCAGTTAGAGCAGTAGGCCGTGTCCCGTTTCTTCACTTCAAGCTGGGGCTAGACCTGCAGAAAGAAGGAGAGGGAGGCTCTGTGTTGATGGGGCCAAAAGTGGAGCACCGAATTACGCGCTTAGCACCTATCGAGATATTCGTGCACGGCATACTTCGCATAGCAGCACGTGCCTTGCTTGATATATTGCCGACTTAGGCTCCTCCGCAGGAGGAGACTTACGACTTGTACCGCGACGAGGCATTTGCTCTTTCTTTCTTGCTTTGGTGTGGTGCAATATTGCTGGTTTGGTGGAGTCGTGGCAGGTCTTGCGAGAAAGCCTGGCGGTGAGTCTTGGCCTTTGCCTCGTCTCATCTTCGTAAGTTGCCGCCGTCCTTGGTAAGGTGAAGCATCTCAGCGAATGTGGGCGCAATGGTCAAAGGAGCTTGCACTTCCGATCTTGCTCATATCTGCATCCGTGCAATGTTTCTAGATTCTAGATGATGAGGATAGCAAGTTGGCTGAGCACCACAACGTGATGGTTCAACGTTCCTCACAGAAGTGGCTCAGCTCAGCGTTAGGCCGTTAGTTTTCTCTGCAATACACCGTGCTGAGGCGCAACCAGCTCCTAGACGAGCTGCGAAAAAAAGAGGCAGAGGTGCCCCGCATCACAGCGATCTTCAGCGCTCAGGCTTGTTTTGGCATCGACAGGAGTGCACCTTCCAGCCCAAGACGTTGTCGCGAGGAAGCCCCAGGACCTTTTCCCGCCCGGACACAACAGGCAGGTCTTGAACGTGAGCCATGCATTATCTGAACTTCTTGCTCGAATTGGCTGGCGGTTCATGTCAGAGTCGGGAGGGGGACGACAAGGAAGGCAGGAAGGACGGGTGGACACCAGGAATATCGGGAACGACAGCCGGTAGAAGGGACTCAAGAAAGCAAGGAAGGCAGGACCATAGTATCGCAACGAGGAGCAGCACTCCTGTAGAGAGACTTCGACATGATTACCATTCCTTTTTCGGTCTTCAAAAGTGTCTTCAAAGGCCTTTACAAGATCGCATGATATTTCGCACCGTGCGAGCGAAGCGCTGCACCTGATCATACCAGAGGCTGGACTGAAAACAGAAGCAAAAGCCTGCTGGCGGCTGGTAGAGTGCCCGCTGACAAGAATGATCATGGCGAAGGCCATTGCAGCCGCCATAAGACTTGAGTATTTCTGCTGACTGTCTTGATCGCGCGACAAGCTGCGAACATGCAGCATCTCATGCTGCAGTTTTCGAAGCATCAAGAGTAACACATCGCATCTGATGCGCATATCTCTTACATGAGGAACTTGCTGCTCCCACTCCGACATTTGCACCACCCTAGATGCGAAAATCAGAGCTCCTGTTGATTCCTGAGTAAATGGTGCCACTGCGTGTTACGCCTTCTGGATCAGTGCTGCTAGGCCCCGAGGCTTCTCGCCACTCACGAACATTAGGCTTTGCTATGCGTGGAATGACACGACGGCACGACTAGGAGGTAAGAGCCGGCAAGCAAGAGACGTGAGCTCGGATTGCGACTAAGTGAGGGTAGCTTCAACAGCTTGCAGGTTGTAGATGCGCTTTTGTGGTCTCAGACGAGTAGAGTCTGTGTCATAAAAATCAGACGATGGCAGATATATTCAGACAAAATCCAGCCACAAAGACCTAACCAAAGATTCATATGTGCTTGTCACATCTGTGAAGCTTCTCAAGGGCAAGCTGCAACACGAGCGCACTCGTAGTCGCTTGCTAATTGTGCCACCAGGTGAAGTAAAGTGGGAGCAGCGTGATTGACTGAGTTTCCTTAGATATGGCTTCAGACGTGCTCATGGATTTTGCCATGCTTTCTGTGACGCATCGACCAAGAGGCTTGGATCAGCGAAAGAGAGATCAGCGTTTAAAGCAAGTGGAGGCAAGACGCACTCGCATAAGATGGCAAGATATTGAGAGTTTTCGATGAATGCTTGTCTTTCGAGCATCGAGGCACAGCACTATGCAGAACTCACTTTAAAGCCAAAGATCAGCCCTTTTGCGCAGGCTGGGAGGGTGGTAGCAGTTTTTCTAGAGCTCCTCGAATGATGTGTGCCGTAGGCGTGGAGTCAAAAGCAGGCAGAGGCCAATGCATGCTAACGACTGCAATTTCAGTTGGACATTTGGATATGATTGTCCGAAGAGTTCTTCTACCTGGAAGGCCGTTCGCGAAAGCCCAAGCACGAACAGTGTGTTCGAACGTCTCTACCAGGCAGCTTTGCAACAGGCCAGCAGTTTCACTCTGGCTTCACTGTGTAACTCTCGAGGATAGGGTCTCAGTGCAGTTCAGCATCCTGGTTCTGTTAGAGTTGCACAGTGGCACCAGTCGCCGGCGACCGCCATGACAGGAGGAGAAGCAAACAGCTGCCAAAAGAGAACGAGAGTCCGACCAGGCCGGAATGAACGACCGATGCTTCTATACATTCATGCAAGATAGCTACTGGTCTTCGATAATGACTGTGCCGGGAGGCCGAATGCCTTTCTCCACCTCCGCCCATCAGCAACCGCAACTCCCCTCCACGAAGGCCATGCGGCGATAGGCTTAGCGAGCCTGGCGTTTTTGGATAAATGCATCTCTTGATTGAGCTACACCCCCCAAAGCAAGTTACGTCTGATGTTCAAGATGTCCACTTCACGAAGGTGACCTGTTGCTCTGGCGATTGAATGTAGTGTTGTAGTGATGATGCGGTTTGGCCAGCAGGATTCCCACTTCCGAGCTTCTCTACAGCGATGCTTTAGACCGCCGCGAGAGGCTTCGCATCATGACGGACCGAACTCCGATCGGTGCCGGAAGATGGATTTCAGCTTGTGAACTCTGAGAAGCGGAAGTTTGCTACAGGAGCAAATGCAGCTGCGGCGCGAAGAGGAAACAAAGGAACGCTGCGCAGCACCGCCCCAAGTCTGTCGATGACACAACCAAGGCCATTGATCCAAACAGACTTGAAGTATCTGAGCCAATGCCGAAGTACGGCCTTTACAAGTCCCGACCCGCTTCCACATGAATCAAGTAACGGAGTGAACAGAAGGGTTTTTTTCACAGATTTAACTCCGGAGTTGCGGTGAATTTGAGTCTTAAAGCCCATTCCCCACTCGTGCTGTTGTTGAATCACAGGAAGGCCTCAGCGGAGAACTGCTGCTGGTTCTGGATTTGGAGTTCCAGCTCACTGGTTCACTGTGGGATCTTCCTCTTGGCAGAGTTTTTGTGCACTGGCACACAATTCGCTTTGGCTCACCACTTCCCTACCACGGTCCTCAAGGGTTTCTCTTCTGCTCGTCCTTTGCCCGAAAGCCGACGGTGGCAATCGAAGCACTAGCTTGTGATATTTATTGGCAGAATGATGCGATGGATCTGAAAGCAAGGCAACATGACGTTTAATCAATGCAGCCCATGACTTGCGCAGACTGTCGGAAGGAAATGTGCTTACTTGAATGTTTCCTTTCTTCTGAGTGTGCTAATCATCTTTCTCAGATACCTTGTTCACCTTTCTCTTCGCGTGTTACCTTTTTTGCCTTTCTCAGATACCTTCGTTTTACTTTTGTTTTGCTTTTTTAATTACTTAGGTGCTTATAGTAAATACCACCAACACTTTTTCATAACATTACATGCTTCTTGTTTCCTTTGTCTTCTGTTTTCAGTTTAAGTTTTCATCATGCTGCACGGTGTCGAAAGTGGCGTGGTGATTTTATACGTTGTTTTGAATGCCTGTATTCCGGTACTACCTTCATTTTTTTGTTTGTCTTTCTCCTCCGGAGGTGCTGTGGATGCAGAGGAATGCTGTGCTTTCACATGTGACCGCGGCCCGGCCTAGGGAGTACGCGGGTCCGGTGCAAACGTAGCGAGTGTAAATTACAGCAGTTTTTCCGTGGAAGTTGAAATAGGACGAGAAATCATCAATAGAACAATGGCAGATAACTACATTCATCACAACGGCCGGCTCAATCCGCAACTTCTTGCAAGCTGTGCATGAACCTACAAGTGAACGTTATTCGATCCTTCTGTTCTCGTAAGCCAGGAGAGCATATATTGCATTGTGCGAATTCAAGGCATCCAGCATTTGCCCGTGGATCGTCGACAGCAGCACCCAGTACTTGGGAGGAAAGCATTCTGGCCGCGCTCCCGAATCCACTGCCGTGGTTCGAAGTGCGCCGGCACCTGCTGGTCTCCTGGGGATCTTTTGGGGTTCTTGTCGTGCTGGTCTCTTGGTTTGCTGTGGTCTCCTGGTTGTGGTGTTCGTTGTCGTGGTGGTCGGCGAGGCTGCGCTGGTCCTGGCGCTCGTCGTGGGTCTCTCGAATTTCCAGAGCTTCTCGCCGTGTGGTCTCCTGGTGGTCTCCTGAGCTCTCGTGGTGGCGTTGGTCTTCTGGGTTCTCCCTGGTGATCATACGCTGGTTTCTTCATGATCTCCCGGTCCTGTTGTCTCTGGTCTGTTTCTTCGTGGTCTCTGGGCTGTTTCTTGGCGGTCTGGTGGTCGTGGTGCAGTAGTCTCCTGGTCGGGGTGGTGTTCCGTGACGGATACCTCACAAAATGAGCCTGTGGGATTCTAGGGGCTCCCGGTTCTATGTCACCAGCCTGTCCATTATAGAGCTTTCGTCCCAGCCCGTGGCTGTCGTCGTGGTCGCCCTGGTCGTAGTGTTCGTGGTGGGTGGTCTGCTGGTGGTCTCCTGGTTCTCTCTGAGTGCTCTCCTGGTGGTCTGCTAGTGCTGGGGGCTTGTTGGTGGTCTTCCCAGGTGCAGCATGGTCCCCCCTACACCTTCCTCTCCCAACTCCATTACACATGTAGTATGTGGTCTGCTTCCCAAGGGATCTTGGAGCTCTGGCGCTTCCAAACTCGTTTTTCGGGCACTCCAAGCTCGTGTTTTCGAGTACAACGCCAGCCCCGTGGGTGTGTGCCGTTGGCATGGAGGAAGTGCTGGAAAAAACAGAGGGCACCTAATTGTGACCTATATATGTATGTATGTATGTA